ACTAGTTCGGACTGATGCCGATTTATAGCGCTAGCTCACTGAGATACCATGCCACAGTTTCACTGAGATACCATGTTGCAGTTTAACATGAATACCCAACTAAAGATACAGTATATAGCCGACCAGTCCTTGTTTTATCCCCTTAATGTAGACAGGGTAACAACAGGTATCATGTCTTTTGGTATGATGCAACTGGGGATCAAACTCTGGACCTTCTGCTCATCGGGCGGATGCCCTGCCACTAGACAGAGGTGGAAAAAAAGAAAGGGTAATCTTAAACGTAACATATGTTCAAAATGTAATGTTTTATAGATAAGAAAGAACCAGGTTCAACTCACACATCCCCACTCCCTAGCATTAGAACTGAAGCCTCTGCTGCATTTGTTAAGCATCATGTTCTAAAATTTGAAACAAATAGTGCCACGGGCACAGCAGCTAATCTGGATTACATCTGGATAAATAAGGGAAATGGCAAAGACAAATGAGAGTAAAAACTGAAAATATGTTAACAGTTTCTGTATCCAAAATGTTTAAACTCCAAAAAACTGAACTATCTGAAATGACCCCAGCAGCATTTTCAATTAGTAGACTTTGGAGGAGATATTAAAATAACATAACTTAAATACATGTATTTGTTCCGAGAGCAACTTGCTTTAGATCTAGTTACTATCTACCCACAACCAATTTTCTGCTAAATTGCTGCATAAATAGCTGACAAATGACCCTAAGTTGCATAAACAGGGAATGTCACTAAGTCTAAGTAAAAGAATCAAATTTCAAAATTTTGTGAAACGTTTTTTGCCTAGTTTCTAACTACCCACAAACAAATGAATTTTCTCCTAAATCACTGCATAAACAGCTGACATATATCTCTTAGTGGTATTTTCAATATGGCCTCTATGGCAGCCATATTTGAATCGGATCCGAAGCCCTTGAACAAATTTTGTGGTCCTCATTGATGGGAACATATTTGCCATGTTTTAGCATTATCTGTCCTCTGGTCTCGGATAAAAGATGTTGAAACATGACAATGTCTGACATAAGCCCACTGGACTGTCGGTCCAGGTGAGCTAAATTAGTTAGTGACACATGAAATACAAGCAAAAGACAGGGCCCGGAGATTTAATTCCTGAATTATGCCTAAACATGAATATGGTATTAATGAGAACAATTTATAACTGGACCAAAACTTCATCAATATCAGTTGACATGCTGCTATGATCCTACTGCAATTGTGGTTAAAAGATCATGAGTGAGTGAGTTGGGTTTCACGTCCCTTTTAGCAATATTCCAGCAATATCATGACGGGGCACACCAGAAATGGGCTTCACACATAGCACCCAAGTGGGGAATCTAACCTGCATGTGCAACCCCACTGCCCCAGGAGAATGATGTAGACTTTGTACTATTTAAGTCACATAGATAAATTCTTCTTTTTTTCGAAGAAAAGACTGAAGATACAAAGGTCTCAAACATTTTTCCCTGATGACTTAGACAATTCTTGAATAATGTTCAGCATAAAGTTGGAATCAAACCCCAAAACAGCAGAACCCGCTATGTGGAGCTAGGGAGGAATCTCTTCAAGAGAAATGTCAAGAAGTGTTATATACAAATTTCAGTTGGTTGCATATAGGAAGCATGACTGTCCCTCAACTCATGGTCATCGTTGTTTTGCTTGTCTTTGACCGAATTCACTTTATTTACAATGAGTCAGTATATCTCATTATCGGAACCAAAGATTTTTCTCTCCCTCATCCTTCCTTTGGATGCTGAAAAAGAATGAAACATTATCAGAGATCGACTGTGTACCTTTGTCACAAGAATGTAATTCACTTGAATAAATAACAAATTCAGACAAAGGGACACAAATAGATTATTTTCAATTCCTAATTCAGTTTAAATTTCAGTTTCATTGAGTGAAAACATTTAATAACAATAGCAGTCATCGTTTAGGTCATCAAGCTTGTTGTCTCCTTCTTTGTTCCACTTAATTTTAGATCCACTAAAGCGACCAAACCACATTTCACAAAACAAGTACATGTTTGTTTGTTATTTAATGCTAGACACAGCAATATTCCAGTGATATGATGGACGTCTCTAAATAATCAAGCCTGGACAATCAAGATAATCCAGTGATTGACATGAGCATCGATCTATTCTACTGGGATTCGATGACATACATCCCCCAAGTCAGTGAGTCTGAACACCCGATCCCGTCAGTCACCTTTTACGACAAGCACCTATTCTAACCCGGATCTTCTTTTTTGATCTTGTATACTGTGGTGTCCTAACACCACCTTTGATTTCTTTCATCTTTTTTTCGCAGACTCTTTAAAGGAAACAAAATTAACATCATCCTAGAGGGAACACTTGAATTCAATGAAGCATATGTTTTATAAAGCAAACATTTAGTTTTCAAGGTCAAAATCGATCTATGTATTTGATGGTGAGATGTGTAACAGTGATGATATGTGTCAAAAGTGTTTCTTTCACTGATTATTCCGACCGCTGAGGGATCTAGTGGATACAGAATCTGTCCAAAGACCATAAGGTCGGCCGTCCAATCCCGGGGCGAATCATGCCAAAGACGTTAAAAGATGGTACTTCTTGTTACCCTGCCTCAAGCTCGGCATCAAGGGGATAAAACAAGGACTGGTCGGCTTGGAGTCCATATACTGTGTCTGAGAGGGCTAGCACTAAAAAATCAGCATTAAGACTAACTAGTACAAGCATCCACACACACATATAAGCACATTGCTATATAAGCGCAATAATCTTGACTGTGATGTTTAACATCATTTAACCTGACTTCACTGATAATTCAGACAATTTCTTTGGGATGATCTTACTTAGTGGACAGACAATCAACACCGATCTTCTATATATGCATCATAAAGAATATCAACTCACACAGAAGATATCAAACAGTCCAGTAAACTTTCAACTTAATCCCACAGCTATCATATCTAAAAACTCCTTTGTACATTTTTAACAATGAAGGCATGAACTTTAAGAGAACTATGAAACATATGTACTGGGAGCGTCCAAACAATATGAAATATATACCTGGAGTGTCAAAGACTAGATGTCTACTCTCCTCCACCTTGTGAGGTGACTGTATCTCATCACCAAAGTGTTTTCTCGCATGTGACACTAGAAATATTGAACATTATTAACAAAAGAATTATGTTACTGTCAATGAGTGGAAAACAACAGAGACCTGGGTGCCATTGTACAAAGCGATCTTAGCGCTAAGGTGATCATAACTCCCATACCTAACACAGACTTATGACAGTCTGAGAGCTAAAATTGTTTTGTACAACGACACCCTGTTTTGAGCTGGTGTGGTAACCATGGTAACCTCACAGAAACAAAATAATTTGCAAACTACACTGTCAATATTTATTTGTGTATTGAAATTGTAAATATGTGAATGTATTTGATTTCAACCATACATTTCCAGAAGCAATACTAGTATTAACTTACTATCTTCATATTACATCTAGTGGTTACAAGGTTTCAATAAACACAAATAAATATGTGAACATGTTGGCGATATCATAAAAAATTATGCCATTGACACTGTAGCTCACCTTGATTGCATACAATATAGAATATTTGGAATTCTAATAAAGAGTAACTATCTCATATGGCCCCATTTGACATCTTCAATATGGCCATAGTTGTAGGGGGCAGTATTGAAAATATGGAATCTGAACACCATCAACATATCTGAGGATATTTTCACTCATTAGGATGGAAATTTCAATTTACCACTAGCCCAGGCCAGTATTTATAATGTTAACAGTATCCTAAACGCCAATAGAATTTCAAACATTTTGAGGGGTATTGCCAAATGTTATTACTATTTGGGCTAGTAGCTGTTCTTGGTTAATTTCATCCCTGCAGTCTTATCAATGAATGAATATATTTCATCTCGGGATGGGGGAGACATTAGGGTGAGAGTCTATTTATCATCCCAAAGCATTGTCACAACATATTTAGCTTATTAGCATTGTTTTCACACCCAGAATGTACTGTTTGTTTTTTGTTTGTTGTTTAATGGCACACTCAGGAATATTCCAGCTATAGGACAGCAGTCTGTAAATAAGAGTGTGGACCAGACAATCCAGTGATTGACATCATGAGCATCGATCCATGCAATTGGGAAACAATGACATGCATCAACCAAGTCAGCCAGCCTGACCACCCGATCCCATTAGTCGCCTCTTACAACAAGCATAGTCACCTTTTCGACAAGCCTGGGTTGCTGAATACTTATTCTAACCCGGATCTTCATGGGTCTAAATGTACAGAAAATACAGCTGGGCTGGTACCTCAGTCATGTAACCAGGGCGATGAGTTAGCCTAGAGGTCAAAGTGTTCACCTGTCACGCTGAAGACCCGGGTTCAATTCCCTACATGGGTACAATGTGTGAAGCTCATTTCTAGTGTCCCACGCTGTGGTATTGCTGGAATATTGCTAAAAGTGGTGTAAAACAGTACTCACTCACTCACGTTACATGTAATGACATTTTGGCATTATACTGGTGACATTATAGATTGTTACATCAATCACATTACACTTCTCGAGACATCATAATGGGCTTCAATTCTGTTGATGGAGTTCCATTAAAGCAATATCTCCTGTGGAAGCTATTTTTAAATAAAATACACACCCGTGTGCTGTTTGTGTCAGAAACAAAGTATTCCTCATCAGCACCAAGTGATGCTAGTTCTTCTGAATTGGTCAAGAAAAGTGAGTGAGTATGGTTTTCTGCTGCTTTTAGCAATATTCCAGCAATGTCAGAGCAGGGGACACGAGACATGGGCTTCACACATTGTACCCATGTGGGGAATCAAACCCAGGCCTTGGGGTGACACTTTTACCACTTTAACCCCATGCTTCCTTCTAAGTTGAGTGTTATAGAGTGAATTGAAGCTTGCTCAAACTAAATTAAATAGTAAATATTCAGTGACAGAAAAGTAACAAGCATATATGTATATCATGTAATGTCAATTCTATTACCATTTCAAATTACTATTTAACAATTAACAAAGGCTTTAGGTAATACTTACCAACACATTAAAAGATAATAATTATAATTTTGTCTACTTACATCAGCTAATTTCTAAGACTGTTTGATGACAAATGATTCCAAAGTGTAAAATATGAAGACATAAAACAATTAATTTCTCATGACAAATTCTCTGGCAGTCTGTGTATCTAATATTGAACAACACTCATTTTAGACAGTTTGTTCATTTCCTTCATATATAGGTCTGTGTTTGTAGTCATGACTCATCCACAGGATGCAGGTAACCATTGCCAAGGAGGATCTAACCACAGGATTTTACAACAAAATTCAAGCATATTTATCGGCACCGAAGCCGATGAATGTGTATGAAATTCGCTAATAAGTCCTGCGATCAAACCAAGCAGTTCTCCAACAGTCACATCACCATCATTTTTCAAGGGGGAGTTTCTTTCCTGGATGGGCAATTTATGGATGTCCTGAAAGAATGTGAAGGAATATTTTCAGTAATACCTCATAAGAATGCAAGTACAAATAACTGTCTTTAAGTAGAAATATTTTAATCATAATATTTTACAATACTGATCATTTAGATTTATCCACAGATTTTATATTTCTGAACCTTTCTTCAATGGATAGATATATCTTACTGTTACCTCAAGGATGAGAGTCCATCTTCTCTCTGCTCCAGCAACATTGTTACTCCTGGCTACCCGCTTGAATGCCAGTATGATGACATAGAAACTGTTACTGGATGTGTTCACTGTCCCATGTTTGTCAGTTATAGCTTTCACATTTGAGAAACCAGCACAATATGTAGACGAGACTGAGTTCTTGACAACCATTTGCCTCAGCCTCCCATGTGTCAATCATCACCAATAGCCTATAAGTATTCTTACACAACACTAAGTAACTGCTCGCCAAACCTGGTCATCTGGAAGTTCGTGGTAACGATGGTAACTGAAAGGACGGGCACAATCTCACTTTCACAAAGAATGTTGTATAGAATTGCTCTCAAATTAAGATATATCTTCCTCGAATATTCCCTGTTCATAATAGTAAAGCCAGACAGACAAATCCATCATGTCGCTGTGTCCCAGCTGTCACCGTGAACACCCCACCATCTTGCCAACCATGCATTCCATCAGTAACAACGATTGGCTGATTTTTATGAGCTCTAATGAAAGCATTAAACTGCCATACAATTTTTTCTCACTCTTGTACACTTGTACCATTCTGAAGGTACAGCAGTATTGTGAACAGCAGTCCATGAATTACCATCCTTTGAAGGAGTGTTGCTGTTCAGTGTTCTTTTAAAGTTACAAACTCTCTTAGGTCTGTTGGATGTACATAGTGTCAGAAAATATTTCCTTGTGGAATATCTTTCATTTGATACCTGAATACCTCATTGGGCTTCATGTTCACCTCTCTGAAGACCATTATTTGGTCGTTTACTGATTCTGAGATAGTGATTTCCTGTTGGTGGAATCCAGTTCTGAACTTCTCCCGGAGGTATATAATTTCTTTGATGGTAACCCTCCATTTGCTTATTAACAACTGTATGCTGTCAAGAACAAAGAAACATGAACATAAATTACATAATATTGTTTGTTTGTTGTTTAATGCCACACTGAGCAATATTCCGGCTAAATGACGGCGGTCTGTAAATAATCGAGTCTGGACCAGACAATCCAGTGATTGATATCATCAGCATCCCGTTAATCGCTTCTTAGGACAAGCATATTATTTTTCACATTAAAATAAATAACAAGTTCAACTTTTAGTTTGATTAACAAATATTTTTATTTACATCATTACAAAATAATAAAATACATTTTATATTCTTCCACATTCCAATGAAATGGAAATAAAAAAATATTCTTTCATAATATTGATACCATATTAATATGTGATGTGGCTGGGTAACTGGCAAGAAAATCGTACAAGTCTTCATCAGTGTTCATTGACGATATTAACAATACACACGCCATCTGCATTTCCCACCTCGGCATAAGGCTGCCACTGACTATCAGTTTGATCGATTAGTTCACTCCTCTACTTTTGATCTGTTGATCTGCCAGCTGTTCACAACTGTTCAGAACATTGGCCTTTAGACTGGTACCTTACCCTCGCCTCAGCTAGCGGCTGAACTTTGTGTAGCGTGCGCAACAGAAGCAAGGAACCAGTCTACATTAGCCTTCTTGCAAAGAGTTATCTCCCCCAAAACCGTAAAGCGAGTTAATGTCGTAAACATTTCGTGCTGCTTAAAGGGGAAGTGTACACGCAAAAATCACTTTCTTTCTTTTTCTAAACAAAACGCAATTTTAGAATTAATTAGTATCTGTGTTTGAAAATATACACTCATTTTTTTCACAGTGAACGTAGGAAGCTCACAATAGTGTGAAAATGATATGCCGTTATGAGGCCTTCGTTTTTCGAGCTAAACAGGCCTGAGTTATCCCCCTTAGATTATGACGTAATTGGTGCCAATTCAACTGGGTCCCTGTCTATTCTCAACGCAAAAGATATCAAGTACCAGTTTGCAGTAAAACAACATGGCCTACGACACACTCCGGCGCAGTGGTGACTCAGCATAACACTATGCTGGCTGGCATCTCAGACGCTAGAATCACACACCTGGACCTACACCACGTGAAGCGGCTCTAACAAAGCATGATGACGTCATAATGTTTATCAATTGGCACCAATGACGTCATATTGCAAGGGGCATAAGCCATGGTGTTTTTGTTGTGGAAATAGAACACTTGGTAAATGTGAAAAATATAAATCGTTTTAATGCGAAAAATATGTTAATTAATTGTGATATTTTTATATTTTTGTCTATGACACTTCTATGTTAACACTTTTAATGTGGAAAAAGTACAAGAAAAATAGGCTCATTTCCGTGTGAACTTGCCCTTTAACCATTAAAACATCTGGGTGATCTTGATATGGTCAGGGACAAAATATATAGTATGTTCGCCACAAATTTTCATTCAAGAATCCAAGGGCTGAGGGGTTTGGGTAACTAACCTCCCCTTACCCTAACACAACCTTATTTGAATGGATCGTAAACTAAATGTTTTATGTATGTACGTAGATACTAATACTAATACGTAAAAATGTATTGCCGTGAGATATATCCAGTTTCTATGATGCGATTTTATAACAAGCCTTTGCTGGCAGCAGTTAACAGTTTCTCACAAAGTTTTACCAAATCTAATAGTAGGTAATATACGGTAATATTTACTGGTTTGGGTCCACCATATTTTTCATTTCGTTGTTCTCCATCGGTGATGTTTTCGGTGCGTGTGGCCGGTTGTATCTCAATTCGTAACACAAGCGAATTCATACCCCTAGAAATGAGTAAGTGAGTATGGTGCTACGCCGTTTTGGGCAATATTCCAGTAATATAACGTGGGGACACCAGTGAGTGAGTGAGTATGATTTTACGCCGCTTTTAGCAATATTCCAGCAATATATCACGGCGGGGGACACCAGAAATGGGCTTCACACATTTTACCCATGTCGGAAATCGAACCCGGGTCTCTTTGGCGTGACTAGGTTAAATTACCCGACCGTCTCCTACCCCCTAGAAATGAGAAATTTCGTACCCCAAATCGAAAGTAATTTCGTAAAATTATGCAATAAAATTAAGTAATAAATTACGTTATATAAAAAAAAAATCGATTTATATCTAAACATCTAGATCTAATGGAAATTGCACATTTTATTCGAACACGAACAACAACATATGGGGTTTATTTGTTCACCCCAGTTCCCTTCAGTGTGATATATAAATGCGGTGGATGGCAACACCGTGAATGTTATTGGGGATGAATGGTTGACTTTATAAATGTGTCATAAGCGCCCTGCGAAACGAAATTCAGAGCTCGACCATCTTTTTCATTTCCGTCACGAAAAACGTGATATGTACGATTTCTAGAATAATAAAACCGTGTTCTGGATAAAATAACTAACTAACTAACTTTTTCAAGAAGTCCTACACATCGTGCTTCGTCAACGAAACGGTTTTTGACAAATATAAACGTGAGGGGAAGCAATTTATTATTCAGAAAGATTTACCTGGCTGATAAGTCAATATAGCAGTTTAGATACGCATGATCCTGATAAAGTTATTACTTATTTAGAATGATGATAATCTTAGCAAACTAATACTTAAAGGGCGACTACGCTTCTCTGTCTCGGGCCCAGTATCAGTCCAGGTCTACACGTTGTAATTAATGACTAATGGACACCTGGGTCAATCAGAGTATCACATGGATGAGCAGGGATATAGCTGGCGCTATGTTTTGGGACTGGCGTTAATTTCTTACTCATATCATGTACACAGTAAACAAGCAAACACACTGATTAAACAAGCTAGCAGCTTAGATAGATCTAGCTTTTATCTTCCGTGTATGTGAGGGTAATGTGCTTCTTTTCTACCAATGAACAAAGGGAGACCACTCATGTCAGACTATTTCTCCGAGTGTATCAGTGGAGATGCTAGTGAGGGATTTCCCAGACGACTTGCCAAGCCCGTCCTTCCGCGGCAAACTGCGGACGTCCCGCCAACCTCAAACATACATCGCGCCTTAGACACTGGTCAGCAAACGGTCCCTAGTTCAGAGGAACGGTCTTTACCAGCTAGATCTAACATCTTTCATAATTAAGCCATAAGAATATTCTCAGGGACTAAACAATCCGAACCTGCCATTCTTTTTATCAACGACGGCAACCACGGCAACGGCCACCACATTATCTGCTCCCCCTTTTTAAGTGTTTGGCCCCCATGACATGCAGCCCTAGAGGTTTAGCCTTGCCGGAAATGGACGATGACGCCTCGTTCTGACTTCGTCTCCGTAACGTAGTTACCGTTGTCTCGGCCAACGTCCCCTCTGTTTCTAACAGATTCACTATCGCTCTTGCTCCCTATTGCTCTGCATTTCGTTGACTACAGCATCGTTTCAAGATCTTCTACTGACAAGATGTTTACTAGGCTGCATATTCAAGGTATTTAAGAATGCATTTATTGTATTTTAAAGTGTTTAGAACATAGATTAGTACTGAAATTGGTCGTAGTTTGACAGCAGTGTCGGCGGTGATGACATTGGCAGCCATTTGCAATTGTTTTGATTCAGAAATGGGTGTCTTTTAAATCTCTTTTCTGCTCTGATATACGAGCGGTCCGTATATAAATATGACGGACGATGTTGTTCAAACATTAAAGATCAAATGTGTGACATTGTATAACTTTAATATCTATTTATAAGTAAACTACTTTTTCAAACGAACGGGCTTGAAATGACATGACTAAAACACATGAACACAACAATGAAATGCCAATTTCACTCCTACTAGGCCTAATGCCTTCTCAAAAACTCTTGTATTCTGTACTCTTAATCCCTCTGTCTGTCTGTCTGTCCGTCCGCCCATCCATTCAGGTGCCGAGGAGGAAATAAGAGCTGTACAAGTTTCTGTAGAGACGTGCTGGCGTGTATGATACCCAGATCTATATTTGTTGACTAGAGGCTGGGCGATGTCTTTGCCTCAACGTAGTACAGTGAAACCTCGTTAACTTGAACTCCTTAACTCGATATATTCATTGAACATGTATTTTTAAATGCGTTTATTTTACTTTTCAGCACGGGAAGACATGATCCGGTATCATGTCACTCCTGCTGCGAGTTTATGGCCGTCGCTGGATGAGGAATCCGACTGTGTATGTAGTTTATCTACATCTCTCTCAGATTCGGCCGCCGAATATCTCACCTTTGTTCATTTGTCTATGTCCCCTCACGCACACTATTGCCTTTACCCATTTTCTCTGTGTGTTATTGTGTCCTGAAAAAATAGCTGCATGATCCCCCTCCTCCACTTACATGTTCCAAACATTCGATCAGAATGTTTGTCTTGTCATACCACCTTATAGTATGTGTAACCTGTGTAGCAGACTGATTTTCTTTTGCACACTGTTATTTGAAAACCGCCTATATACCTCGCCCACTGACCCTCCTTTCTCCCTCCCTCCCCCCTCACCGGTGTAGCGTCCTCAGGCTGCGTCCCCGATCCTCTCTCCCAACCCTCTGAGTGTTTTCACCCCCTTCTGGGCCCGCCCTGACCACGGTGAGACGCTCCCCGCCCCAGTCACGATCACCTACGTCGACCACTATCCCGCCCCTAGTGATGACGACAGTGACTACTGGGTCTACGAGGACGAGGATGACGACAGCTTCGTGGAGGACCGAGAGGTTCATCCTCTGAGGAAGGCGCTGAGGAGAGTGGCTGCCTTCTGGAGGAGAATCTTCTCGTAGATTTCTCATCCAGTGTGTGTGTGTATGAGTGCGAGTGTAAATGTGTAAGTGTGAGAGGATGTGGTTTTGCATGTGTGACAGAGAGTGTAAGTGTGTATGTGTGGTAGGATATGTTTTTGTATGTGTGACAGAGAGTGTAAGGGTGTATGTTTGAGAGGATGTTTTTTTGCATGTGTGACAGAGTGTGTGTATGTGTGATGGAGAGTGCAAGTGTGTATGTGTGACATAGTGTGTCTATGTGTGACGGAGAATTCAAGTGTGTATGTGTGACATAGTGTGTGTATGTGTGACAGAAAGTGTAAGTGTGTATGTGTGACGGAGAGTGCAAGTGTGTATGTGTGACAGTGTGTAAGGGTGTATGTTTGAGAGGATGTGTTTTGCATGTTTGACAGAGTGTAAGTGTGTGTTTGTGTGGCAGAGCGTGTAAATGTATGGTTTGAGAGGATGTGTTTTTGCATGTGTGGCAGAGTGTGTGTATGTGTGACGGAGAGTGCAGGTGTGTATGTGTGACGGAGAGTGTAAGTGTGTATGTGTGACAGAGAGTGGAAGTGTGTATGTGTGACAGTGTGTAAGGGTGTATGTTTGAGAGGATGTGTTTTGCATGTGTGACAGTGTGTAAGTGTGTGTGTGTGGCAGAGCGTGTAAATGTGTGTGTTTGAGAGGATGTGTTTTTGGCATGTGTGGCATAGAGTGTAAGTGTGTATGTGTGAGAGGATGTGTTTTTGCTTGTGTGTCAGAGAGCGTGTGTATGTGTGACAGAGAGCGTATGTATGTATGTGTGAGAGGATGTGTTTTTGCTTGTGTGTCAGAGAGCGTGTGTATGTGTGACAGACAGTGTCAGTATGTATGTGTGAGAGGATGTGTTTTTGCTTGTGTGTCAGAGAGCGTGTGTATGTGTGACAGAGAGTGTCAGTATGTATGTGTGAGAGGATGTGTTTTTGCTTG